ATTTTAAGTCATGGTTGTCCAGTTCCATTCGACTTTGTTGACATTCTATATGAGCATCAATTGAATTTGTTCGTGTTTCTATATCAGCTATTTCATTTATAATAGAATGCATCATTGTACGAAAGACTAACGTATTACAAAATCGATCTACTGCTTGTGGACTAAACCGGCCAGTAATACCGCTTCTTCCTTTGCCTTAAAAACATTGGAAAAAGGAAAGATAGGTTATATATGAAACTGAGGCCTGTTCGTAAAGCCCATTGTCTACTACCCACATAGTAAGACATAATTCTACTACTACATATATTGAAATTTTCAAATAAAGTTACAGATCCTTACAGGGAGAGTTTATATCGTAGCAACAGGTACCATCGTTGTCAGGATTAATGTGATTTTCAGTCTGGCTTAAGGTTGCTCGCTGTGAATATTTTTCACTCATAAAATGAAGTTGTAAGTTTCTAAAGCATGTTAAGTTGTATACCCTATAGGAAAAGATGTTTCTGAATTATTCAGCTCCGTTGCAGTTGCTGACGTTGTTTTCTATAAAATGTTTTTTTATCGTTATAGGGTCACGCATTTCAGCATGGAATTTCTTTAGTAAAGTGGTACTTATAGTCAATTGAATTAGATAAGTATAAAAAGAATAGCTGTTTCAAAGTCAAATGATGCTTTGCGGTTGTTTTTCTGTCTCTGTTTTAGTTCTTTGTGTAAGGTGGTGTACTTATCGATGTTTCTACGAAAAAAACAGATGAAAATGAACCAATGTGAAGTTGTTATTATTATTAATTAACATAAACAAGTAAGATATTTAATTTTATTAAGAAAGTAAGAAAACTGATTATTTGCGTGTGCATCAGCCGACACCATCTCGGTTCTGGGAGTTTCAATAGTTTTTATAAAAGACTAACGGCTTTATAGCCGTTTCATTGTTAGCGTATCGAAGGGCAAACATTTGAAATACTTAAAAGTTCCATAACTGAGAAACAAAACGACCTGAAAAGCTGAACCGTTTTGTCGATATTAGAGACATATAGAAGACGTATAAAAAAAATTGAGCTCATAACTCCTCCATTGGAGGAAGTTATAAAATTATTAATTTTTGTGTTTTCCTGTGAAAAAAACACGAAAAATTTTATAACTTTTAAAGGAAGCAATAAGAGCGTAGGTCCTTTTAGGATTTTTACTAGAAAACTGTCCTCTATCAATCGACTAATAAATCACTGAAATCGGAGTTGGACACCTGAACAGGTTCCCTCGTTAGCCAGATCTCGCCCTACAAGCTCGGGTGTTTATGTAAATCTAGGATTTTTTGAGAGTTGCTGTCCGAGTTCTGACCTAGTCGATTAATTGAACATTCGAGTGCCTGGTCAACAGGAATGCTTGAGAATGCACGATCGCTCCTTTGTACCGCAAAGGATCTTGTCAAATGTTGTAAGAGATCATCAGACATTGTCTGAAGATCCGCCAGATTTCTAGCACCTAATTTGGCATATCGGAACCGGTTATTTGCAAAGAACATCGGCACCATTTTACTCCAGGCTGCATTTCTTGCATTAAAATTTTGTGTACGAACAGCAACTAATAATTCGATACAAGGTTGGAAAAGTTGATTCAATATATAATACCAAAATTTGAAATGTATATTAGTCGATGACGTAGTTGTCGAATATTCATGATATTTTTCTTGCAGATTGGAACGATGTATTATTTCTAACAGGCTAGTAAACCATTGTTTTTTTTTTTCATCCGTAGCATAATACGATGGTAACTGATCAAATGTGGATGGAATTGATTGGGATGATGATAACGCTGATGTAGATGTTATAAAATTTTCAATACATAAAATACTCAAAGCCGTGTATAATAACTTAGTAGCACGCAATGATTTATTAAAATTTGTCACTTCTAAAATTGATCGGAGTGTGGCTCCTTGGTAAATATTTCCCAATAGTTCATGAATACCAGAACCTGCCAGCACCTTCCAGACCATTATCATATAAGTTTTAAGTGCATGAAAATCTCCAGCTAAGATAAAAACATCTTGAAATTCTTTTGGTTGTTGGTCTTTCACTTTTATCACCGCCTGATACATTCCTTCATCCATTATAATAATTGCTTGTTTCTAAACAAAGCAGAGTGAACCCGCTTAATGAAATACTACATTATCTTACAAAAGAAGGTCACTGCAAAGACCAGAAAAAATGGAACACTTTTCTCCCAATTTGAAAGCTTTCCTCAATCTAACTTAAAAACACTAAAGACCTTTTTTTGGACTCATCAAATTATTTTCCTTCAGACCTACACTCGTTGTAAACTCGTATTTTAACGGTAGCCATTCTGGAAAAAACTATGGAAAGAGAAACGTGGTGTACACTTAGACATTTACTTGAAGTCCAGAATCGATTAGTTGCGATTTTGTGGTTTTTAGAATAGCCAGAGCTGCTTCTCTTGAGGTTGGTGATTCATTGATGGGAGAACAGTACGTTATTTTATGTTTTTCTTGCTTTTTGTGAATTAGATATGAGCTAAAAAAACCGCATAATAATGGAGTTAATTGTTTTTGTTCGTATGAATAATACTGAACGACACGATAACCAAACAAACAATTTTGTGTCGATAAATCGATAAATTTTTCATATTGATGATATTGGTGTATTGTTGTCGTTGTTTGTACGCTATTGTTGTGTATGGGTGATATTGTGGAATGTTGTGGTGTTGATACACTATTATAGTTGCGTTGACGTGGACGATTGATTAGTTCTGCTTTGTCATTGATCGATTTTATATGTACTGGTGTAGAAGATGGCGGTTGTTGGTGAATATAGTTTGTTGGATTTTGTATGATTATTTGTGTCACTATATGTAAACTATCTCTTCCATGTATTGTTTCAGGACAATAATC